ATAATTATAAAGTTATTGAATTAAGATGTACAACGACACTTTTATTCCGAAATACCAGTGCATAGACCGCTGGAGATACGTCGCGTATTCAGATTTACGCAAGAGGCCTCCGTAAAGCTGTTTGTAAAATTTACATCGGGCGCACAAAGAAAGTGTCGGGCATTTGTCGGGCGAGCTAATTGAATTAAGCCCGCCATGGCGCGCAGGTGTTCAATTATTTCCTTTACCGCTTTACGAGCTCCGCCTTTACCGTGATATTCCCCGCGAGATTTTTCTTGGCGCTAGAACGGCATGTAACCTGCGTGCTGCATGCTCGCTCTCGGCAGGTGATCCGGTGGGATACCACGAGAAAACGATAGAACGGTTATTCGACCAATGTGCGAGATAACCGACTGAATTATTTTTCGGCCAAACATGAAAACCGGCTGCCGCGATTCACCTGTGGCGCTGTTCGTCATACATGAGCTGGTCTTCTTGGTACTCATTATTCCAAACTGATCCCTGAGCTTCTCTCTCTTATCATGATTTAATGTATTAATCAATTAACGTTACTTGCTCATAATTTAATAAATTTAACGTACTTGTGTAGGATATCTTCTGTCTTCGTTTATGATATATTATTGTTTCATAATATATTAAAATACTTCTCTAAGGAACGTAAGATATCTATAAAGGAAGATATCTAAATATTGTTCGCTTATCACATTGAATTGTGAATTATCGCTGATTTTTAAATTTATTTTCGCGAGACCCCAGTTGATTGAATGAACAACGGATTATTTTCAATGGATTAATTCTGCGACGTTAAATGAAAGAATCCACAAGTTCTATAAAATTATTTCTTATAGTTCCAAAATTTGGATGTATAATTGAATAGAATTCTGATTTTTTTCCGTAGAATTTTAGAGTTTCTGATGCGTTTAAAAAAATTCTGAACAATTAAGTAATGAAAGGCTGCCATTTTCACAGAGTCCAGATGGTCATCTAAAGTAAAGAATCGTGTTAAACACACTCGATCGAGCAATCTCAATACGATCCCGGCGTATTCCTTCATGTATACTCTGTCCTCAAATTTTTCTTAAAATTTGCAGATGATCGGCTTCCCGGTCGGCAAACTTTTTCTACGCGAACGGTTTAGCATGTTTTTTTTCTCTGTAATTAATTGAGCCCACGATAAGCCCTAATGCGACGTGACATTGAAAATCCTTCTCGATTTACCTCGGCCATTGCGACGTATCAAATCGCGAGATCTCTCCAGCCGTGAGTTATATATTTTTACGGTCCCGAAGTGCTTTGATGCCCCGGCCGCGTATATTCACGCGTGTCTATTTGTCGCATTCGCGTTCTCTGCTTTTTTTTTATGCGCGCACTTTTGTTACGGGATGCCACCCACTCCACACGAGCGGATGCCTCTTTTTTACGAGATCGTCAACGTTGAAAGTGTCCGACAGTTTTGGCCTCGTCGCGCAATAACGCGGCGTGATACTCGACTTTTCGTGTTCCAGTTTTTATTCAAACGTAAATATCCATGATGCATGGTCGTTAGAAGTTGGCCAAAAAGCTTAATGCCTTGGTTTAATTTAATCTAGAAATTGGGAAGAATAAAGGAAAAAAAGTGTGTTTATTAAATTAATCCTATATACTTTTCGATTTAATTGATACTTTTTTCGTCTATTTTATACTTTATTGTGAATTATGTAGAGACTTAATTATTTCATTAGATGTCTCATGAAATAAGGCACAAAATGTTACACAAGTGTATCTGAGTGAATCTTGTGTCCCATCAACAGTATAATTTAACACAATTGATTAATAATAATTAATGAAATATGTGTTTATCGATACTCAATTTTCGCCTCTGTATGTCTTCTGTAACGCGATCGGTACTTTGTGGCTTTTCAGAGGGACAAAACATAACCGACACGTCGTGGTTGCGTGTCGTCCATCGAAAATTGCTTGCTGCATAGTGGTTTTCGAGGTCGTGTCGCATGAATCGTGAGGTGTAATATCGAATTAATGCCGCCTGAAAACCGTATGGATATTATCGCATCAGACATCACGTTGCACATTGCGTAACAAATTCCGTATCAGCGGAACGTGCTGCTGTTCTCTTTCTCGTCTTTTATCGGATCACCTCTTGTTTTCCGCGTGAATATCACATTAATCTAACGTTTCCGACTATCCTCTTAACCGAACGTGTGTGGAAAATCAAACATGCAAAAAGAGAGAAGAGAGATCACTTCTTGATAAAAATTTTCAACAAGAAACTTATCTTTCCGGACATGTTAATATTATGTATTGTGTTGTACTACTTTTTCGTTGTATCAAATAATATTATTTGTCAAAGCAATTGAGAACAATAAGAAACATATGTTTCTTATTCTCAGTTGCTCTCTTGTCTTGTTCTTAGTTGCTTTGACTTTTAATTGAGGTCGAACGTGTGAGGAAAATTAAACATACAAAAAAAAAAGATTATTTCTTGATAAAAATTTTTAGCAGGAAGCTTAGACGTACATGTCTTTCTATATTACTTACTTCTATATTACTTAATATTACGTATTATATTTTTATTACGTATTATATTTTTTATTTTTATGTTGTACTAATAAATAGTTTTTTGTTTATTGTTCCAAATTGATTACTTTAAGTTTGAGTGTAAATTCGTAAATTTGGTGACGAGTGATATCGTGATATGTGTATGTATCCGACACAGCAATCCACTGGCGGCAAGTCGCACGTAATCTCGCGATCGTTTCTCGGCGTCTACGTACGTACAGTCCAGACCGAGGGCGACACCCGCAACCAGCATTCCAGGCTAATTCTTCATCGAACAATTACCGAACGGATGACGGCGGCAGAGGCAACGCGGAAGACGAACTAGTCATGACATGGAGGCCCGGTGCTCAGCACTACGTCATAACGGTCGAGCGGGCTTGCGCCGGCTCTGAGGATGACACGATGGACCATGGTTTAGCTTGTCCTTTGATGCATGATATTGCGGAGTCGGTGCTGCACGCTTCGGCAAACATGTCACGAGCAAGCCGAAACTGTTAGGATTCATAGTTATCTCGGGCGATCGTGTGCCGTCCGAGGACACTCGCCCTATCGTTCACGCGAGACTACATTCTCTATAATGTAATACGTATACACCTGTAATGCGTGTACGTTTCCGTATGTGAATCTCGTGATATCGCTATCCTGCGAATTTCGGATTGTAATATCCTTCTAGGATAACGATTCTCAACCGTAGGAGAATCTGCAGGATATGAGGAAAGAAGGAAGGGATTCGTGTAATGAAATAATATTTTTGTCTTCTTAATTCAATCTGATTATATAATCTTCTGTTATACATATATCACGAATTCTTTTTAAACGTTAAGATTCAATGAAAGGATTATACAAGACGTTAAGTCCCGTGAGTATTTTTTGTATAATTTTGATCATCCGTTTAGGTTTTTTTTTATTCAGTTACCAAGTTCTTTCATTATTTTATATTCTAAAAATGAAAAATTCTGTGTTACTTTACAACATTTCTATTACATTATCAAATTGAATTTTTTTATTATTTTAGGACACTGAGAAAAAAATTGTTTATTTTATTACGTTAAATTTCGTCTTTATTTCTTCCGATGAAGAATGTATGTACTTAAGTTAAAAGTTATTACATTACGAAATAAAGATGACCTAAATTAATTTGGTTAAATGAACAAATTTTTCTCAATGGAGGGGAAATCGAATTTTATTTATCCTCCTTTGAGAGTAAAATTGAGAGAAATGAGAGAATGGGCAGAATAAAGACATAATTTTACTTAGGTCTTTTTCCAGAGATTAGCTTTTTCATACAATATTGATAATAGTGAAGTATTGTAACATGTAACTTCTTAAAGACATTACATAGATTCATTTGATACTGTATTTATTTGTGTATAATAAAAAAGTAGCAAGTTATTTTAATTTTTATTAAATTTTTATTTTATTAAAATCAAGATTTTGTAATTAGGCCTTTATTCCGCCCATCTCCTCAATTATGTCAATTTGTGTCAAGAAAGACCCAGATTGCAGATGAAGGTTAATATGATAATGAAGGACAATAGGATAGAGAAATTACGGACAGTATAAGAGAGTACTTGCTAGTGCGTATCTCGTCGAATAAAAATTAATCTCGATGCGGCAACGCGTCGCTCTACAATTCCTTCCGGACGTTTTTCGAAATGTAAATCCAGCCGATTCTCATAAATTCTCCGCAAGACACGGTGCGCCTCGCGCATAGGTTCGCACTCCTACGTATACATGTTACGGGGTGGGCATTAATAACGGATGAAGCCCCGGACTGCGGCAACCTCGTAATGTTTATCTCGTTGTTTATTCCGCGTGCGTATCAGCCGCAATGTGAAAAACACGCGTATACATATCTCCCGCGCGCGGATTCTTAGCGCGATCGCGATTTTGATTTATAAAGACGCATCGCGAATTTATGCCCGGCATTAATTTTGCATCGACTATGCTCTCGAGAGGGGAACTTTCTTTTCGCTCCCCTTTTCACCCAACGACTCACGCGCCAAGAATATTGCGGGCTATGGGGGATGCGGATATTCTTTTTTTTTTTTTCTAATCCCCTACCCGATACTGCGGATATTTTGTCAGGTATCCTCTTCCTTTGTCTTCCTTTTAGTATCGCGCTGCGTCTGTTCTTTTATTTGCCCAAGGATTACGCGGAAGCAGAATACGGAAGGTTGAATTTATGTAAGGGCTTCGCACATATGTATGCCGTTATGATACACATTTCGTACATTTGACATAATTTAAATTATTTTCAATTAATATATTTCAATTTATGTACGTACATTAACATAAATGTATAGTTAATACAGCTTTATATTGTGCACAATGATACATGAACTTAAATAAATTTGTTTATAAATTCATTCAGTCTTTTGACAAAGAGCAGGAGAATTGTTGGACAAATTGATTTTCACAAATTTTTGTTTTATCTGTTACAGAAAAGCCCTTTCAGACGTCGTATGGTCCTACGATAGACAACGGAATGGTGAGTGATCTTTTGATATTGACCTTCACGCCGACATAATATGAATCGCACCGATTTCTTTGCGCGCGTATCGCCCTTTGTTCCTTCCTGCCCCATTTGAGTCGAGCGACGGCGCGAGAGAAGTTGGAATATTCAAGATTCTCTCCCTTTGTTGCAACGACTTGAACCTCTAAACGAGGCGGGATTATGTAAGAAATAGGACCGTAATAATTATTGCAGTCGTAGAAGCGAATTTATCTGAGAAAAAGTTACTCGCTCTGCACCGTCCCGACTCCGCACTCTCCCTCCGACATCTCCAACGTAATCCCAAAACTTTACCTCGGATGATATTTTTGGTAAGCGGTTCTCATTTCTTGTCACGAAAGATATTTTTCCTGGTAAGTGTATTATTTATTTGCACAAGCGTAATACAGCATGAGAATCGACATGTGTATTTAACTGCCTCGTTAAATTTTAATGATATAAATTTATCTTTGTGACTTTGCTGTTGTAAGTTAATTCTCATTAATTTATCATATCAATCATCTTAATTAATTAAATATATTATATGCGCAATAACAGTAATGATGTAATGAATTTCGAATCGAAACAAAAATCTTCTGATTCCACGAAGCTGAGTGCCATCAAACCTCCTTTAATATCACTTACGCTTTCTCTCTCTCTCTCTCTCTCTCTCTCTCTCTCTCTCTCTCTCATTCGTGGCAATTTATTCGGTGCATCAAATTACTTGCACGTATTCCACAAGGAAACTGGGATATTTCTTTTCCATATCGTTGAAATTAAAAAGATTGTTGCAGCACTTATTTTTGAGTTATTCCCATGTTTTCCGAAATTTTTATTGCACGAAACAAAAATTTCTTGTCGACGAAAAATTTCTTGTCACTTATCGACGATTCTTGTTAGATAATCGCGTTATACATATGCGGAACGTGAGACCTTGTACGTAGTCTATTCAACGTGAGATAATGATTCTACTATATTTGAATTTCATACGTCTTCCGTTCATCGCAATTCTCGAGGATATAATTCAACCATTGTTTTCTGCAAACGCTAGACGACAGCAGAAACGAAGCGAATACGATATACTTGAACTTTTCGAAAGCGCTAGAGAGAGAAAGAGCAGTATCTAATCGACAGTCGTTAAACCATAGCTGATAAGGAATATTGATTTCGATGGATGATTTATTAAAGCCGCCCCCGAGTTATCACTGTCGCATTTCCTCCATTTCGCATATTCCCTCCCATCCTTATCCTTCCTCTCTTCTTTCATGACTTGTGATAGTTATTCGTAATCAATGCAAAATGCAAGTATTCTTTTAATTACAGTAATAATTTACGGAAACTTTATTAATTTTATAAATTAAATAAAAATGCAGCGCTTTTATAAATGAAAAGTGTATAATTATGCAATATTTTTGATAAATTAAAAGATATAATTATTTAATAATTTTAATGTAAAAGTATTTTTTGTAAGCTGGAATATTTTTGATACGAACAGTATCCCGTACTGTTATTATTATATCGATAATTTGTCGCTGCAATATTGCGATTATAATTGTCGCGACCAGAAATGAAAATGAAAAAATTGAGAAAAAAAAGGATGTATTTCGGTTTCTGTTTCAGGCGTATAGCAGTGGTGCATTCGGTCCTACGGCGGGTGGACCGGGCGGGGGGCCAGGCGGGGGT